AAAAAGAGACAGGAGTCTCGCTCTGTCACCCAGGCTGGAGTGCAGTGGTGCGATCTCAGCTCACTGCAAGCTCCGCCTCCCGGGTTCACGCCATTCTGCCTCAGCCTCCCCAGTAGCTGGGACTACAGGTGCCTGCTATGGCACCCAGCTAATGTTTTGTATTTTTTGTAGAGACGGGGTTTCACCAGATCTCCATCTCCTGACCTCGTGATCCGCCCACCTCGGCCTCCCAAAGTGCTGGGATTACAGGCATGAGCCACTGCACCCGGCCTACATTCTTTTATATGTATCTAGAATTATAAATTTTGAAGCAAATAAAGTAACAACAATGAACAAATGTATTCATGGAAAAGTCATCTCGCCTTCCATAAAAACAAAACCTCCATAAATATTGCTTGTATTAGAAATTTGGTTATAAAAAAGGCAATCTCTCCAAAAGTCTGTAGATGCTCAAAAGACCAGGCACTTTACGAAAATCACTGCTAATATACAAGACTTGCTGTGTAAAAGACAGTTCTTGAAATACCTTCCTTTTCTGCCAGAAGGCCATAACCTAACATGTATACTAAGGTATTTCATTTTATCAACTGTAAATTTAGATTTATATTCATTTTATCTATATTCATCTAGGTATTTGTTAAGATAAACACATAATTTGAGTCTAATATGCTCAGCGTAAGAACTAGTTTTGTGAAAGGTGTTAGAATTGTGACATAATCAGAAGCAAAGCACGGAGGGGAGATTTTGTACGGTTCCCTGCTGTCCAGAAAAAAGTTCACATTCGTGTCATTGGCCTAACAGCCAGGAACTATCACTTCTGATACTGACTTGAATTACACTCATCTGACATTCCATATAATATTCCATTCCTGCTTTCCTTTTCATAAGCATATGTTTTCACTCTCCAAATAGACTGCAGGATCATTAGTAGCAGGGAAAAATATAGTGGGAAGGCCGTGAGGAAGAGAGCAGGATTGTAATGCCAGTGGGGTCACAACACAGAAGGTGTCACTTGAAAGAAGTGAGGCAGCAACACTTAAATCTAGAAGCTGAATTGCCCACACAAAGGGAACTGTCAGTATATAGTCCCTGAAAGAGATACATACTTCCAGCAAGTTCGAGAGGCTAGCGGAGCTGGGCAAGGAAGGAAAGGAGGAGTAGTGGGATTTGCGGCCAAAGAGATAACAACAGCCAGAGTGGGGACTTGCAAGGTACTGAAAGGACTTTGGGTTTTCCTTTTAGTGAAATGAGAGCCATTGGAGGATTTTCAGCAGAAGAGTGACCTGATTTTACTCACCCTTTACTGGAAATCTGTGGAACAGAACTAGGCAATGAGGGTGCTACAACAATAAAGGTGAGCGTTGGCAGTGGTTTGACCAGAAGTGGGAATGAGAAACAGTTGGATTCTGTTTTCAAAGAGCTCATAGAACTTACTGATGGATTGTTATGTAGGATGTGAAAGGAAACGACAGAAATGACTCCAGCTAAAACAGTAAAATGCTGTTCACTAATTTCAAGATGATGGGAGAAGCTGTTTTGCAGAGACAATGAAAGAAATTGAAGCTTATTTAAGTTTGAAGTGCATATTTATTGGACTTTCAAGTTGAGATGTCAAGTAGCAGGGTCTCTAGAATATGGAATACAAGGCTGTGGGCTACTGACTTAACATCCACAATATGAACATATGGGCAGCATCTCCACAGCAACAAACATCAGTTCAAAATAATCAGACAGATTTTCATCCTCGACGTCCATCTTCTCAGATCCATCAGGAGCCACAGAACTAAGGGAAGAAAAAAGGCAGCATCAAATATAGAGCTGTCAAGCTGAGTTCCACAAATACGTTTCAGGAGGCCTGAGAACTCCTGGAATTGCAAGCAAAATATATGGGGAAAGTGGGCACATTTTGAAAAAGGTATGAATATCTATCACTGGGTCTCCAAAGTAACCCCTTCATGGTTCTAAATTTAACAGGTTATTTGAATGAAAATTGCCATATTATTGCATACCCTTACTACCAAGGGCATTTTTCCACATTTGTAAAATAGGGATAACTTTTTCTGTGTGTTCCAAAAATTATGGAAACAGACAATTACTAAAGAAAGCACTTGTAAAACTGCAAGTTAGGAATCCAGATGTTGTACGTACAAAGCAAACATTCCTTACTTCTGTAACCCAGGGCTCAGTCCTTGCACTGCTTATCTTCATTATCAACCCTCTTTTCCTAAGAGATGTCATTTCACCTTCTGGCTTTTTTACTCTCATAGGAGTAAAAACTCTCAATTACGTTTCCAGCCGAGACTTCTTTTCTGAACTCCAGATTTGTGTATCAAACTGCTTACCTTCGTATATCTTCCTCTTAGATATGTGTAATAAGCATCTCACACTCTCTGGATGTCCAAAACTAAGATATGGAATTCTTCCCAAAACTTGTTCCTTGAGTATTCTTCCCCGTTTTTAGCAACTGGTACCTCCATTTCAGTTGCTGTCAGTGAAATAACTGGAATCATCCATAAATTTTCTTTCTCTCATACTCTACACACTCAGTGGCTCAGAAATGAACTATCAACCTTCTTTCAAAATAAATAAAGAATCCAACAACTTTTCAGAGCCTCTACCACTAATACACAGAGCAAGCCACTGCCATCTCAACTCCTTTTTTTTAGTACCCTAACTGATCTCTGCTCCTATCCAGGCTCCATCACAGTTTATTCTTCATTAGGCATCCAGACAGCTCACTTTAAAATATAAAGCAGATCATCTCAGTCCTCTGCTCAAAACCCTGAGTGGCTCCCACCTCACTAGGAATAAAACCAAAGTAGTTACACTGGCCTACATACAAGGCCATATAGGAACAGCTTGCCTCCATTTGCCTTTCAGACCTCATCTCCATTCCTCTGCACCTCTTCTGCCCTTTTGCCCAGCCACAATAACTCTGCTATCTCCAGGCTTTGCTACTTGGTCTTCTATTTGGAATATTCTCTAGTCTTTATTTCTCCACTATCGCTTTATCAGTAAAGCTTTCCTTGACCCTATCATTTAAAATGACCACCTTCTCGACTGGGCGCGGTGACTCACACCTGTAATCCCAGCACTTTGGGAGGCCAAGGCAGGCAGATCACATGAAGCAGGAGTTCAGGACGAGTCTAACCAAACATGTACTAAAAATACAAAAATTAGCTGGGTGTGGTGGCGCATGCTTGTAATCCCAGCTACTCGGGAGGCTGAGACACTAGAATTGCTTGAACCCAAGCGAGGTGTAGGTGGAATGTGCCGAGATCGCACCACTGCACTGCATCCTGGGGAACAGAGCAAGACCCTACCTCAAAAAAATAATTAAACATCACCTCCTCCCTCTTTAGCCTGTTTCAGTGATAGCACTTAGCACCATCTGATAGTTTTACTTCATGTGTGAACGCACACCCAATAGACTCCATGCATACAGAAAATACTGTTTTGTTCACTGTCATTCACTCCTATAATTCTCAGAGCCATTAACGGTACCTGGCATATGTTATGTGCTCAATTTTTGTTGTTAACTTTATGTCCTCATACAAACCAGTGCTTTAGCTCCAATAACATCGTTCTTTTCATATTAATGCACAAGTCCATATCTTTGAAAAAGATGACACTCAAAGTAACTCCATTGATTTTCCCAATTTCAAACTTAGAACCCTACAATTTGCTTGCTGACCACAAAGAGGAAAAATCTGATTTTACAATGTAACTATCATCCTAAACCAGCAATTGTCCTATTATCTTCAACGTAGATAAACCAGACATATGTCCCTGATGTGGTGCACCAGTATGTACATATAAACTCTTCCTGACAAGAATATAAACCTGATTTCAACTAAGTATACAAAAGTCACTTCTGCTCAGGACAGAGTATAGAAACCAAGTAAAATGACACCATTAGAAAAGCCAATCCAGGCCGGGCGCGGTGGCTTACGCCTATAAATCCCAACACTTTGGGAGGCCGAGGCGGGCGGATCACGAGCTCAAGAGATGGAGATCATCCTGGCCAACATGATGAAACCCCATCTATACCAAAAAATACAAAAATTAGCTGGGCGTAGTGGCGCGAGCCTGTAGTCACTTGGGAGGCTAAGGCAGTAGAATCAATTGAACTCGGGAGGCGAAGTTCCAGTGAGCCAAGATAAAACACTTCACTCCAGCATGGCGACAGCGTGAGACTCAGCCTCAAAAAAGGAAAAAAAAAAAGCCAATCCAAATCTCCTACAGGTTTGGTCTCTAGCAAATCATTGTCCTGATGCCTGAATGTATACTTTTTCAAAAGGCTAACACTGCTGGTTAACAATTTAAGTTTTAGTGGCCGGGTTTAGTGGCTCATGCCTGTAATCCCAACACTTTGGGAGGCTGAGGCGGTCAGATCACGAGGTCAGCAGTTTGAGACCAGCCTGGCCAACAAGGTGAAATTCCGTCTCTACTAAAAATACAAAAATTAGGTGGGCGACTGTAATCCCACGTATTTAGGAGGCTGAGGCAAGAGAATCGCTTGAAACCGTAAGGCGGAGGATCGCGCCACTGCACTCCAGCCTGGACGAAAGAGAAACACTCCGTCTCAAGAAAAAAAAAAATAGGTTTTGGTGATGTTTCTATATTGCTCACTAAGCGATACTCTACCTTTTAATGTTCTTATAATACGCAGAAACACATTTTATTAGGTCTATTGGAAACAGTACTTAATAGCTCTCGAATGAACATTTATATTGTTACCCCACACTGCCTTTTGCTGACCAGTTTTGTCACCAAGTCAAAAGCAGCAGCGTACACGCCGCCTGTACTTAGATTTACGATCCTACTCAGGAAGATCTGTTGCGCTCACGGATTCGCCTTTAAGTACCGCCGCCTGGATGCGAGGCCTTCTTTGTTCTCAGCCCTCCCCGCCATTTTGAAAACAGTAACGTGGCGTCTTCCCCGAGTTTCCTACAACTTCCGTAATCCTTGAGATCCTTACGAACACTTCAAGCTTAAACTAAAAAGGAAAGCCCCACGAGAATTATAAACCGTGCCAATACAGCTTACTCACTGCTATCTAACGCCCTAAGGTGTCCAAGAAAACTAAACGTTAAACATACCAACTACCCCCAAATAGGAAATAGTAACTTTTAAAGCTTTTTGTGCCCAAATCCTAAATATGCGCGATTAACCACGAGAAATTAAACGTTACCTGCAAATGCACACTAGTGCACAATGACTGCTTTTCCAGCAAAAACCTGCAACAGGATAACAAGATGTCCGCTCTTTTACGAAGAAATTGGGCGGCCCTAAAAAGGGCCTTTGGTTGTAAAGAGAAATACTGAGTGGAGTAAGCGGGAGCCTTAACCACCGAAGCCGTAAAGAGTGCGTCCCTGTCGCTTCAGCGCATAGACCACATCCATTGCTGTTACAGTCTTGCGTTTAGCATGCTCCGTGTAAGTGACTGCATCACGAATCACGTTCTCCAGGAACACCTTCAGAACACCACGGGTCTCCTCATAGATAAGGCCAGAAATACGCTTGACACCGCCGCGGCGAGCAAGGCGCCGGATGGCTGGCTTAGTGATGCCCTGAATGTTGTCCCGCAAAACCTTGCGGTGACGCTTAGCGCCTCCCTTACCTAAGCCTTTCCCACCCTTACCACGTCCAGACATGACTAACCAGCTCCCAAAGCCGCTTTCAGGAACCTAAAAAGCGGGGAAAGCAACAGACGCCCTTATATGCAGGGAATTCGGACCTAATTGAAGACTGAAAGCGCGCATACGGGAACTTTGGTCCTGCTTTTTGGTCTCACCCTATGCAGCCCCGCCCTGGATGACGTCACCAACAACTTCATCCTTTGACGTCTGAGCGCGGGTGCCGTGGAGGCGTCTCTCGCAATTGCTGGGAAATAGGAATAGGAGTTTTACGGCTGTTTTAACAGCTAAATCAGATTAAAGAAATCAACATGTTTAAATTATTATCAATTGTTTCTTGAGTTGCTTTAGGACAATTGGAGACGAGCTTCGGTCCACAGGACCGAAAGCCTGAGGAGTCCAGCTTTGTCCCCAAGGTCACAGTGACTGGCATTTCTGCTGCCTGCTGTAAAGCACATACGGACCGAAACCTCCTTCGGAAGTGTTTGACAATTGCAAGATTTCACCCTCTCTATCATCAAGCCAAGGGAAACGTAACCAAAACGGTTTTCTTCCCGATGGCGAAGACATGGTAGGTTAGTGATTCGTGGTAGAATTATCCCCCTCCGCGCGGAGGCTTCATTCTATTCCCAGTTTGTTCTCTTCTTTCCCTACTTATTAAAATTTGTAATTGCCATTTCAATATCTAAGTGCCCCTCACAACTGCACCCAGTGTGTGGGTTTCGGGGTGGGTTTTGGGGGGTTTTTTTTTTTTCCTTTTTTTATTTTATTGAGACAGGGTCTTGCTATGTT